TTATCGTTACATATTTTTATAAAGAAACTAACATTCATATATTTAGAATTGCAAAACGATTCTGCACAAAAGAATTTGATTGAGAGTCAATTAATGACAATTGATCTCTCACTTCCAACGTATTTTAAAGAAAATACATTTAATAATTGTTCTTTTATATTTAATATTAATAGTAAATAGAATTTAAATAAGTATATATAATAATTAATAAATAATTAACAAATTAAACTTTTTTTTAATGTATTTTTATATAAGTAATAGCTTATATTGTAATATCATGGTCCAAGTTTAAATAAACTCTCTTCGTGACAAATTACTCCACGGACAAAGTGTAATAATCATATACGGCCGTGTAATTATTTAAGATAAATAATTATAAGATCATAATTTTAGCATTATAATTAACATGTTATATAAAGCTTTTCAAGATGACCAATTAGTGGTTGTGGTTTTTTACCACTATATATTGTCAATATTTGAAAAATAATTTAAAAGATTAATATAATAGTTATTTTATACAAATTCATTTGATTTTTAATTATTTATTATTTTATTTTAATTTTTTTTCTTATATTTAGTATTTTTATATTATTATTTTATTTTGTATAATTATTATAATTATTATACTTAAATTTTATTTATTTTTACAAATTTAATTAATTTATTAATAAATTTCAAAAAAAATAATAACATATTTGTAAGTTTAATAAAGTTGTATTTAGTTCTTTAAATTTATAAAAAAGATAAGTAAAAGGTTTTAATATTAAATTAATATACTATAAAATTTATTTAATAAAATCATTAAATATTATCTTAATTAATTCAAAATATTAAATACTATAATAAATTAATTTAAAAAAAAAATCTATTATAAAGGTTAAAAATCTTTAATCAAATCATAATCAGTTAAAATATTTTTTATAATTAACTGATTAAAATTAATTTAAATCTAAATTATAAATTTGATTAAAATTAATTTTTTTACCTTTAATATTTATAATATTATTAAAAATTATTTTTTAAATTCTTTAAATATCATTTTTTATTTTTTATTTCTATAAAAATAAATTAAAAATATAAATTGTTTTTTAATATATTACTTAAATATTTACATCATTTTATATATCAATTATTTTATTTTGAATCAAATTATCATAATATCAATATATAATATAATATATTGATATTAAAAATTTAAAACTTATATTTTATAAAACATAAAATTTTTTTTACAATAATAATATAATGCTTATTTTTATAAAAATGATAATTAATCTATAGATTAGAAATAAAATCTCTCAATAATAATTTAAACTTAGATAAAATTATATTAAAATCATAATAAGAAATATAATAAAACCTTTTAATATAATATTATCAAAACTACTATATATTAAAATATAGAAAAGGATAAGAAAAATTATTTTTAACAGATATTTATAAACTAATTAAAATATATTTATATTTGAGTTTATTTAACTTAAATATTTTATTATATGTGATTACTTTTATTAAAAAATTTTTAAAAAATCTTATTATTAAAGATAATAACTATTTTATTATTGTCTAAATTATAGATACCTGCCAAAAACTCCTTAAAATAATTTCTTTATACCTTTTTCTATATTTTTAATATAATTTTAACAGTTTCAGTTTTCGTCATATTAAAAGATTTCAATATATCCCTTATAATGATTTTAATATAATTTGTTTAAGTTTTGACTATTATTAAGAGATTTTGTTTCTCATCTATAGTCTAAATATAACTTAAAAAAAAAGTTCTAAAGGTTTATTTTTATTATTAAAAGCTAATTATTAAAAATAAATAAATCAATAATATATTAATTAAAAATTAAATAAAAATTTAATAAAATATTTCAGAATAATCTTATAAATATTTTTTATAATTTAAATTATTAAAATCTATTTAAAAAAGAAAAATAATATTTAGTAAAATATTTATTGATTTTACTTTTTAAATAAAATTCTCTTTTAAAATTTATAGTAAATATAAAATTAACAAAATAAATTTATTAAATTTTAAAATAATTATTTAATAATCTTATAAAATTATATAATAATTTTAACATTTATATCAAATTATATTATAATAATTTGAATATTCAAAAATTTATAATAAATTAAACTAAATTAATTAAATTAAAGTTAATAAATAGGTAATTTAATCAAATATCTTAATTTATAAGTTAAATTAAACTAAAAGTTAGTTTAATATTTGAGATAGATATTAATAAATTCTAAAATTTAAAATTTTATATTATTATTTATTATAAAAACTTTATTTATTATATAAAAAGATTATTGAAAAAATCAGATTCTGAAAATTTTTGATTAAAATTAAAAGTTTAATATATTTTCATCTAATTATATCAATATTAATATATAATAAAAATTTCAATTTTATTAAAACATTTATTTAACTTGATTATTTTTAATAATTAATTTATATTTTATAAGTTTTTTAAAAATTTTTTAATTAATAATTTATAATTATATTATTGAAAAATAAAGATAAATTATAAATATAAATTAAATACTTAAATAAAATAATAGTAAAATTAAATAATATTATAAACAATTAATATAACTTTATTTCTCTAAAAATAAGCAACATAATTTTATTATAATATTACTTATTTTCAAGTAATTAAAATTTTTTTAATATATAGTTAAAAGCTTAATTTGTAATTTGCTAATCATATGTAATATTTTTATATATAAATTCTAGGATAATTTTTACTATTTATATATAAAAGCATACCAGACATTTGTATGATTAGCTATTACACACAATTATATAATTTGGTTTTTTATATTATTTAAAGTAAGGTAAATATTTCATTATCTTATTCTTTTTATATAATACTAAAAAAAATTTTTGATTACATTTCTAGAAGTTTATTATAGTGCTTTTTTAAAAATAATTCTATTAATCACATAATTTTCAACAAGTATATTTAGCAATTTTAAAGGTTATAATAAAAAATCTAAACTAAAAGAAACTTTTTGGGCTATGTATTATTTGTAAAGTAAAAAGAAACAAAACAAAATTTCAGAGGTTTACAGAGAAAGTTAAACAAAAATCTTTGTAACATGAAATTTCAGATTCTATCTGACAGTTAGGTAGTACTCAATTTTGTCATAATCACTATATAAGCTGTATTGTAAATAAAACATATTCTAAGAATTTTAAGAATAGCATTACCTTAAAATAATGCTGAGAATCTGATTAGATATAAGATAAACTGATGATGGAAAGAATTGATTCTGATAATGACAAACTCAGGTTAATAATAGAAGAAATTGAATCTAATAATTCAAAAATATATCTTGATGAACTTAGAGATAAATTAACATTAAAGGTAAATAGAATTTATGAAATTGATTTTATTGAAAGTGTTAGATAAATAGCATGGATTTATATATAAGAGAAAAAAAAGAAAATATATTATCAATTTATGATTGAAAATTATTTAGAAAGGATATGAAATCAAAAGATACTAACCTTACATCATTCTTTAACATACTTGAGAAATTAATCAATCTAAGTAGTAGGGATATTTTGGATCATACTATCTCACAAAAGTAGAAAGGGCTCTCTTTTTATATTATTTCCTTACTAAAATTAAGAATAAGCATATTAGTACATTAAAAAGATATCATAATATTTTTGGATCATTCAGGTATCACTGGTCTAATGATGCCAATTTGGGAATTATTAGGATACATGAATGATATCTGAATGATACCCTAATGATTCTCGAATTAGCATCATTAGGAGTCATTCAGTAATTACTGAATTATATCTAATAATGGATCCCATTCAGGAATCATCTGGGATGTAGTAAAAAGCTATCATTAGGTATACAATTAGGCTACTGAATTGCATGCTGAATTATAGCTTTTTTTTCTTTATTTACAAACTGAATAATATTAAATTACTAATTAGTATAATTCGATTGGATTACTGAATATTAGTAAAAATGTAATTTATACTAATTTATTGAATTTTGTCAGATTATAAGTACATTTAATATAAATATTTAAATATAAACTAATTAATCCCATCTGAATCATATTTCAAATTTCCTTCTTGTTGACTACTATTATCATCATTATTTAATTCTTCTCAGGTATTTGAATAATATTGATTGCAAGCATCATCAACACATTTCTTTAAATGACTATTATATCTAGAAAAAGTCTAATTAGGAGTTCTAAATGAAGCATCACCAATGATATAATGTTTATTGTCATGAATATGATTTCTTTGACAAGTGGATCTAGATGTTTCATTAAATGCCCTATCAATATAATCTCATAAGAATTTACGAGTCTAAGAATAATCAATTAGTGTTCTATATACATACATATAAAACAAATTAAAAATTAAAAATTACTGTTGAAGAGCGCTAACTTATGTCCTTAATGATAACTAATCTTTCATTATCTGGATGATCTAAGTCAGTTTCACTTCCTTCTTCTGAGTGGTATCAGTTATTATCAATAATTAGACGAAGTTCATTTTTTGAAAATTTTTTAATTAGTTGATCTTTTTCTTGATGTAATTGATCAATTACTCTGGCTCGTCGCAACCTTTTCTATAAGTATATAAAACATAATGAGTAATAATAAATATAAATATTATTGATGAGATATTTACTTCTCTAGCACAAGTATTTTTGTGCCCTCTCCTCGCCTGTCTGTCTTGTTCTTCTGAATTTTTTAATCCTAATAAATACGATTCTCTTTGATGTTAATATTATTCATGAATGATATTATATATAATATTATCATCAACAGGAAATCTTTGACGGTCAATACTCGCTTGTATAGTTTGAATAATTATACGATTTACTAGATTTCGTTCAGATTCGAATGTAAGTTTTACATTTAATTTGGAATCATTTGGCATGTTTTTGATAATTCTAAATATTTTTCTCTAAACCATTTAATTTATGTCAATTAGTGATTAATATTGAAAACAAGAATACAGTAGCAGTCATAAGTATCTGACTGCTTCTAACTCTGGCTACAAGTAAGTAAATTCAAAATTTTTTTTTATTTAAAAAATACATAACCAACTAATTAAAATTAATATATTGTGTAGTTACCATCTGATTCTATAAGTATAGCTGTACGCCTTTTCATGCTAGTTACCAAATTCACGGCAAGTACAGGTGATAATCAGTTCTATTCTTTTATAAGTTCCCCTTTTAACCCTCTAATTGATCAAATTTTTTTTTTTTTGTATATTAATTTTTATTAACCTCCAAACGTTTTCTATAGGGTTTTGGTCTGGAAATATTGTTGGTCAAGAAAGTACTTCAATGCCATTTTCTTCCTTCCATATTTTCACGATTTTTGATCGATGCTTTGGATCATTATCTTCTTGCAAGATCCAATCTATGTTACCTTTACCAAAAAGTTTAGAGGTGGAAGCCAGAAGACCCTTCTCATAAATAGTACACATAAATTCAGCATTAAGGTTCCTCT